ACACACACACACACACACACACACACACACAAACGCTCTACCTAGCAAAAAGAGAAAAATACGACCAAGGCTCATAACAACAAAATTTGTAAGTTGGGGCACTTGCTAGTCAAGGTTCCTCTTTACTTCAGTTCAGTCAACAGAAAGCTGCCAAGCAATTTAGTTTTTCATAAGATCGTTAGAATATAAATAGATACTGAAATAACAACGTTAACAATAACAATACATTTGTAATGCACTACATTTGAAAGAAATCTCAATGTTTTTCCAAATGTTTAAAATTAACATAATAAGCATTCATACAATGCAACAAAGAGCTGGATAGGCACCATAGTCTATTAAATGTATAAATCATAATTACACCATCATAGTTACATGAAAAACAGTTTGAGTTATAAATAATATCACAAGGAAATGAAAAACAACTGAGCTTGTGGCATTGTTCGTGAACTTGAAATAACATTCCAGTCTCCCAAAAATAATGAAAAACAGTATGAGGTGCAACTGAGTGTGCCCGCTTAAAACCCTAGCTTCTTTAAAAAGCGATAACAACACATTGACTTCAAACAAAACAAAAAACAAAACAAAACAAATATAGGCACATTATTTAGCGCTTCAAGAAATTGTTCAGATAAACTGCATTTGTAGCTCCATGATTTAAAGTGTTGCATATTATGAATCAATCGGGGAAATATGAACTACAAACGAGAGCTGAGCTATCTGGAATTCCAGGTGATGGGATGCCACGGATGTGCCATTGAAATATGAGGAGATTGATGATGAATGACAATGCAACCAGAAGCCTCATATCACACTTATCTGCATGTGGAACATCTGCTGCATGGGGACCTTGACTTAAACACTTGTCAAGTAAGTCCTCTTTTAGTGTGTGTGTGTGTGTGTGTGTGTGTGTATATATATATATATATATATATATATGGGGATGAGGATGCTCTATATGTGTGTGTGTGTGTGTGTGTGTGTGTGGAGGAGATTGATGATGAATGACAATGCAACCAGAAGCCTCATATCACACTTATCTGCATGTGGAACATCTGCTGCATGGGGACCTTGACTTAAACACTTGTCAAGTAAGTCCTCTTTTAGTGTGTGTGTGTGTGTGTGTGTGTGTGTGTGTGTGTGTGTGTGTGTATGTGTATATATATATATATATATATATATGGGGATGAGACGTCCACTTGTCCAAGGCTGAGCTACACTGCAGTTGTTTGCAGAGTAGCTAGTGATAAGAGGACAAATGAGGTAACATTTCCTGACACTTACCCAATATTGTATGTGCTACGTGGGAAAATCAGAATACAAATATGTGATTTTTTTTTTTTTTTTTTTCCACCAGCCAGCGGTCAGACCAACCAGCAGGTTGCTGTCTGCTCCATTCAGAAGACATCTGCACCAATGGACCCGGGATTTGATTTATCCGCCGTAGGACGGAAGCTGGCCCACGCCGCCGCTGGTGTTTGTTCAAAGCCAACAACATGAGACTTAGGAAGCTATTATGAATGGGAGATGTCAGCAGAGAGGTCAGGGACAAAAGGCAGAGACGGACCTCTGCGGGGTACAAGGAAAACATGTCCTGAAAACCAGGCGGGGGGTTGAAGGTCACATATCCTTTATAATATTTACACTGGCTGAGGTACTTAAATGTAAAAGAAGTTTGATTACCGTATTTTACGAAACAAAAGGTGCAAATACTAGAAACATATGTCAGTTACATCACTGTAAACTATACCATACTCTCTCAAATGATAACATGTTTGTAAACATCTCTCTGAGTGTTTTAAGTTTATCGAAAATGCTTGTCGTGACATCAATAGACGGTGCACAGACAAAATGTTGAAAATCAGATTTGCTTAAAAGGTTAAACACATACAAATGCAGTTTTGCAGTACAGTAAAAGTAATGCGATGGAATGTGGAGCTTGTCTATCAACCTTGTCTTCTCTCAGCCTCCGTAATGATCTACGGTTGTTATGCGGGTGTGGCTCTTTTGGGGTGAGTAGGCCTTTGCTGTACAGCATGATGAACATCACGTCATGCCAGGAGGCAAATTCTTTGCAAAGCAGACTGTCCAGCGTTTGAAGTCACGGCCATTGTCGTCTTTGTGTGATGCTCGAACACATCAGCTCCCAAGCTGCACATCATCTGTTCTTGGACTGTGCACACTTGCCTATTTGTGACCAAATCTTTGTGATAAAGGTCTTTGGAAAAAAAATGTCACCCACTTGTGAACAGGTAATAATGACCAAAAACCGAAACCGCTGATATCCTAAATCAAAGGCCCTCTGCTCTCCGGGCCTGCTGTGATTAACAAAGCTGTGTTTGACAAAGTCTCTGTGAGGTAAAGCCCTGCTGAAATAACAAGCCAGCATTACGTTGGTGCGCTGGTGCGTCGTACAACTCATATTCAAGTCCACTGTAGCAAATCATGTCAGGTTACTAAACATAGTTTCCACAGATTAGGCAAACTACTCCTCGGAGGTGCACTCAGGGGAGGTTGAGTTTCACCTGCATGATGATGAGTACCAAAAAAAACAAAACAAACCAAAAAAAAAATTACTACCATATTTTTCGGATAATAAATCGCATGTGAAATGACATAATCATGTGTTAATAATTTCACACATAACTCGCTCCAGAGTATAAATCGCACCCCCGGCCAAACTATGAAGAAAACTGCGACTTATAGTCCGGAAAATACGGGATATCAAATTATTTTACGTTTTACTTCTCTGCTCTGTGCTCTATATTGATTTCCTTTTTGAACCCATGTTCATTATTTCATCGTCAAAATTGGAGAATTGACATATTTTACGTTCAACTACACGGTTGAGACGCAAAGAGCAACATTGACAAGCCTAACTAACCTCACCTCCGACTGTGCAATCCTTCATGAAATGGGTTGAGGCAGCTTGTAGTTCGCAGGTGTCTGTTTGTCTTTCTTCACACCCCCGCCACACACTCAAATTTTCCACAGTCAGGTTCATGCATTTCATATTTGTGTGTTACATATTTCAATTTACTGATCACCAGTTCTGTGCATGAAACCGTGATGACTCAAATTGTGATTCGAGTGCGTGTCAGAATCATTTAATCCGAATCGGATTGAATATCATCCTGCTTACTTTATTTTGACACATTGTTGCTGTTGCAGGATTTTTAGGCTGTGTTTATGGCTAATGTAATTTTTCATGACTGCATGTAATTTCTGTGCATACATGCAGTTGCCCCCCCTCTCAGAAGACAATTTCTCGCTCCTTAGATTTGTAGAACAAAAGTAGGTATGGCAATTCTCATCAATCAGGCAAGTTGTTGGAGAAGGGAGTTCAAGGGCCTCTTCATCAAGTACTTTTAAAAGTCCACTGAAGATGTGCATAATTATATAACACAGGCTTATTTGCATCAAGTTAATAGTTCTCCTTCTGAGGCCCGGATGTCTGTCACTTAATCGTTATCATGATTAATATTTTCAACTCCTAACCAATTCAAGATAAAGGATTAAAGTCGCACTTTAACTTGTAGCTGACGGAATCAGTTGTCGGGAGGAAACACGCTGCATATTTTTGGCAAGCAGCACAATCCACTATTTTCTTAGTAATATAATTGTGGATTGAAACTTATTTTTTCCCCCAAAGGTTTTTATGAGTACTGTTTTCTTGGTGACAAATTTGCAATGAACTGTACACTAGACATTGTAATTAGGGGCCGATGCCCCCTTTTGTTCATCGTCACATGATCTTAGATCAGGGTTCCCAAACTTTTTGAAACTGAGAGCTATTTCTTGTGTGCTGGCTAATGTGGAGGGCTACCAGTTGATAAACACTGCTGACTTTTCTCAAATTGTATCTATATGTTCTGATAATTAATTCATGACATCCATTTGTGTATCAATTCCACGAGTTCTGACAATCGTTACGAACAATGATTTAATAAACAGATCAATATCAATGTGCAACACTTTATTGCTATCTGGAAGCGTTTCCATTTTGAAATAAGTACTTCTTGAACATCCTTCAGAAGTCACAATGTCCATCACTGGTGAGCTATTTTGATAACATGGGACTCATGTGGTCCTTGGGGGAGGCAGGGTGCCCGCGGCCCCCTCTCTTGCATTCGCCCCTTCCACTGAGCATTAGCATTAGCATTACATTCGGAGGGTCAGCCAGTGTCAGGTACCTCATTGTATATTGACCAGAGGCTGATGCGTTGGTCTTTGGATCCAGCAGCCAGAAGTCTTTGCCTGGGGTCCTTGTGGTCGGAGAATGCAACGCTCAGCACCATGTCACGGTGGTACTGCAACACTGCAAGAGGTCGCAGCTTCTTCCAGCCAAATACCCGTACCCGGTGGTCCCAGCCTGCGGATGCTAACAGTTTACCATCTCCTCTGATACTCAGCTGGGAAACACCAGGGTTGGTTAGAGTCACGCAGTCTCGTAGCTACAAGGAGGAAGGAGAAGAAATAAATCAATCTCAAGGCTTTTCAATACAAAAATCATTTCATAAATATGAGAAAATTGGAAAATAAATGTGTGCTTGTTTCCATCTACTAGTATTTTGTAAACCTTTGTTCTGTGTTCATTTTTTTTCTCTTCAATGATTCATCCACGCATCCCTTATCTGTACCGCAACATAAAAAAAAAAAATCTTTAAGAACTGCCTTCTCATAGAGCAGGGGTGTCAAACTCAAGTCCTGATGGGCCGCTGTCCTGCATGTTTTCCAAGTCTCCCTGTTGCAACACACCTGATTCAAATGATCAGATCATCAGCAAGCTCTGCGGAAGCCTGACATTGAACCTGTTCATTTGAATCAGGTGTGTTGCAACAGGGAGACTTGGAAAACATGCAGGACAGCGGCCCTCCAGGACCTGAGTTTGACACCTATGTCATAGAGGATAGGATGAGCTCTTTAATGTTTTATTTTTTGCTATAACATTAAATAAAAACAGGCTGTTTTCAGGCTTCTCTGAAAACACTGCATGCAATTATTAGCTATTGAAAAGAGTGAGCAGTTAGGCAGGGTCCAACACGGAGGTTTTTCGGGTAGTGGTGGCCCTGCCACAACTGGCAACTGGCACTGGCCATGTACAGTGGACACCCTGCATACCAATAATTCACTTATTCACAGACTTTTTTTCTCCTAATATTTAGAAAAAATAAAAATTGTGTGTGTGTGTGTGTGTGTGTTTCTTCAAGATTTTCGTGTTTTGTTTTTAGGGTTTAAAATGGTTTTAGAATGGCTGTCAATTATAGGATGATTGTGGTTATTTGCAGGTCGGTATGGTCCCTATCTGGTTCGTCAATAGTGTGAGTCCACTGTTTATTCATGATATAATACAATAAGTTACAATGATTACTTCATATTTAGCATATTTATATTGGGGAATTTACACCGTGACGAAAATATTACTTCTGTGTAGTTACTTCTTTTGCAGCATAAAATCGAACTGAATATTTAACATTTGACATTTTCAGCTGGTTCAAGCCATTGCTTCTGGAAGAATTTAACCTGATGACCAAACATTTTAAAGTACACAGTGTGTTAAAAAGCTCAATGATTGATCCTTTGAAGTGGATAAAACTCAGAAATATTGAACCAATATGAATGCATATTTTTAAAAAAGCAAGAACATGTTTATCTCATCCTATTTATTTTTGACATTTGTATGGGTTGGATTACTTTGGTTGGTCCGACAGTCATGAAGTGGCCCTGAGCCACTCTTAATGTCGAACTTTGTGAGGATTTTCTCAACTGGTTGTCAAACTTAATTTTCCTCTAATATTAATCAAAATACACTTCATACACATACCATAATTCAATGGGTAGGCATCATCCATTCTAGTGGGTGGCATGTTCACAATAATATTCAATGAGGTTTTATACTGCCCTAAGACTCAAGACATTGTACAGTACTGGATAGATATAAAGAAAAGGTTTTTTTTTTTTTCCCCTTGAATTGCTCTAAAATATATTTTTGGGATCAAAAGTATCCTTTTAATAATCGTGGTATAATTTCAGTAACAACAAGGTACTTCATGCAGGGGTATAGTATCAAAGTCAAAATGTTGGGAGTGTGACAACACTCCTCAAGACGCATACTAGTCTTGCCACGGAAAAGGGGAAAAAAAAGAGGCGTACTATCAATTAAAACATTAAAATGAAAAAGATATACTTATTCCTTTCGTAAATAGGTTGTAGGTAAGTAATAAATTCATGACACCATTTCCAGCCAACTATAACCAACACAAATAATGACAGCGAGATTATCAGGTGTTCTGATGACAGAGGTCCACATTTCTGCTGATCATGGCCCGTAAACTCCTGAGTCTCAATCATCAGGCATAAAACATTACGGCATGAGGGCCATGACCAAATCTCTCCGCGTCGCTCTATTTGGTTTGGAGTAAGGGGAGGGCAGGGGGGGCTGGGGGGGGGGCACACTGGAAGCAAGGCCTGGGTTTGAGTTTCCCTTGTCACAAGCAAGAGAGAAGCCTTCTCGGTGAAAAGCTTGTTTGCAGACGAGTTGTTGCTTTAAGCGCCTCTGATGAATTACATTTGCACTGAAAGGTCTGGTCAGCAAAAGAAGAGCTCTGATTAATACACATTTTGTTGCAACGTTTGCCTGCTAAAGATTAGCCACAGCGGATTTTTTTTTTCCTCCACGTGTGACGGTGTTTCAAGACGTCTGGCTAAAGGGGCACCACGCTGACATCCTATAATAAATGAGCCCAATCTGAAAGACCTTTTGGAGGTGGGCATTCCTTGGAAGAGAAACGTGCTCTTCCTGCTAGCTGGGGATCGCGGCCGGATCGCTCCATGCGGCGCACACATCTGGATCGGGGGGCGCTGAAATCCAACTGGACAGCGTAAAATTGACTTCATGGGTTGTGTCTAAGGAGACTAATGGGCTTGCATAGAAAGATATGTTGCCGAATTTATCTGCTCCTGTTCCGGGCTGGAACTATACACAAGCTGCATGTGGAAGATATAAGCCAGGTACTCACTGCCTAAGCGGATAAAGAGGAATGCAAGTGAAAGAGAGCAGAGAGGAATGTCATTGATCAGAAAGAGCGCGCTTTGCTCAAAAGGGTGATTTTCCTTTTTTTTCTCCTTCTTTTTTTTTTTTTAGGATTTGATATTAATCAAGCCATCATCGCTGGTACCAACAGTGTCGGTGTGTGGCTGCTTAGACCAAACAAGCCAAGTCACACTGATGCAGAGAAAACTTTGGGGTGACAGATTGTTTGGAGCTTTGTTATTACCTCAAGAAGTTGGTATGCCACAACCTCTCTCCATCTGGTTTGAATTAGAGGCCTGATAATGATGGGTTAAAGTGTCTGTTTGTGTTTGTTTTCTATCCCAAAATTTGCCGTCGTGAAAGGACATTTACTTTATTAAAGGGTCAATTGTAAGCAGTAAATATTAATGACGCACTAATGGACTTTAAGTCAATATCATTTTCAGTGTGAATGGACGAAGCAATTTACAGCCTCGTTCAAGAGTTTTTTTTTTTGTTTTGTTCTTTTTTTAACAGCATAACAAAGGTTAAGGCAAAGATAAGACGGAGCATTCGAACACTATTTGGCAGAGGAGAGTCACCCCAAATCGTCTGAGATTTCTGTTGAGCTGACACAAGAGTCAAAAAGTAGCCGAGTCGGTTTCAGGTTCACTGGATTTCCAGCGCAGTTTGAGTCAATGTGATGTCATCATTGCAAAATAGAAATTTGAACAATAAGCATATCATTTATCCCGATATAATGTGGCAGTTGTTCTCTTAACCGTGCAGCAAAAGATCTCCCTGGATCACAACTTCGATTTGAAGAAAGCATATTTGATCCAGACATAAATACAAAAATCGAGACACTATTTACTGCTACACTTAATATATCAAGGTATGATGTGTTAGCTGCATGAAGAAAGACAACGCCTCAGCCATCAATTGCTTCTTTAGTCCAAGTTTTCTTTCTTTTGACTTCTAGTGTCATTGCTGAGAGATAGTTTGGACTTCATCATTGTTATAAGCACCCTCGTCTCGCCGACTTTCTGCATGCAGCTGAAATGTTGGCTCCCTCGCTTGTTTTGGGGCTTCCAGTTCTGCTCGGCGGCCACGCTCGGAGACATTCCTTAAGCACTAAAACATCCAACATAAACTCACACTTCATGATCTCTTTGTAGCATCTCAGGGACATAAGAAATATTCAGGAGCGTCCAGTTGGCAACCATCCCTCGAACCTTGCTCCACTTTCCTCCCTCATCTTTCCTTCGGTCTTGCCGTTCATGCCGATCCACTGAAACATGCCATCATCGCTCACTCACTCGAGCCTATCGACTGGAAGGCTTTTCACAGGCATTTCTGACACACCCTGGCCCTGAATCACACTCACGAAGGAGGAGATTACAGCCTTTTGTCACCTTGCCTGTCAGAGCTTGGCTCCGGCTGACAAGAGATGGACGTGTCAAAGAGCTGAGCGGTTCCATTCAGAAAAAAAAAAAAAAAGACAGAATGTTTCTCAATAAGAAGACCTGTAATTTTTTATGACAGGCCTCCCCCGATCCATTGTCAGCGAAATGAACTTCAATTTCACACAGGATGCTCGACCGTGACTCCCAATTACACGTTGTGCTGCAAGAGATTACAACAGCTGTGGCGTGGGAAATTATTCAGTTATTAGACAAAATCTCACTTAAATATAGAAGCGCAATATTTTTACATTTACGTGAAAACGAGGGCATGGGCTGCCTTCCACCAAGCGTCTAAAAGAATGATTACTGTCACTTGATTTATGCTGCTAATCTTTCCCCATTGCTTCCTGTTATTTGCATTCAGCCAGCAACCTTTTTTGATTTCATCCCTCCAGGATGAGCCTCTCACTGCTCTGTCAGTGCATTTGAGTGACCGCCTCAATATATGTCCATCCAACTTAACAGCTTGTAAATCCTGAAATCCACACCTGCATCGAGTAGTTCAACAAACGTAAGCTCACACGGACAGTTAAAAAAAAAAAAAAACAGCCGCAGATGATGCTTCATTACTACAAGCACGGAGCGGCCAGGTCATACAGCAGATAAAGGCAGTTGAGCGCCATGTGCATCACATTAACCTCAATTCCTGAAGATATCTGTCTTTATCTGGCCTGATAAGGTTACTTCTTCAAGGGGGAAAAAAAAAAAAAAAGAAACTTTCAGCTTCACTAAATCACAATGGCGCTGTATTTTGTCTCATTAAGTTTTCTCTTCATTTCACGAGGAACATCTATCCGCCCTGCCAGCCCAACTCCACAACAGAGGCCATGTTGAAGTCGTAATTCATGGGGAGTTGAGATACTGTGGCACTTACAGCCTCGTCAACCTTTATTGCAGCTTCCCACTGAGTCTACTGTTCCCTTTACTGCAGATGTGTTTTTTGTTTGGTTAAGGGGCCTCCAAGGTTTTGATATTT